TCTCAATAAAAACTATGAAATGACGAATACGCCATCATATTTAAATATAGAACGAAGAAAATTAATTTATTTTAATTTATGTTTTTTTAATAATTTATTTGAGACTTGTTTGTACTTTTTAATTTCTATTTTTTTCATAATTTATTTGGAACTATAGTTGTAATTAGTTCATTATTATTTTTATTTAAACAAGTATGTATATTCGTCATTTCACGGTTTTTATTAAGAAATTGGATGAAATTGGATAGAAATGATGATTTGTATAATTAAAGGCGTAATTAAGGGTGAAAAAATATATATAAAAAAAGAAGAGGTAATGGCGTTTTTCACAATAATAGTGAAAGTTATGGACATTATGTGCTAATTATAGTTTTAATAATTTATTTAAGACTCGTTTACACTTTTAAAAAGATTTGGGATTATAATTACAATTAGTTATTTACTTTTTCTTTTTGTTTTATTTAAATAGAAGTGTATATTCGTAATTTCATAGTTTTTAATTAAGAAAATGAATGAAAATGACTTTTTGCTCAATGAAATATGGAAATAAGAGCAAAAATGCCAAAAAATGAAAGGTATTGACATTTTCTACAATAATAGTAAAATATAAAGACGTTATATGCTAATTATTCATTTATTTTTTTGTGCAAGTGACACGCACTAGTATTTCTTCCTCCAACTCTAAGAGTGTGTTTGATAGGGATTTTGAGGAGGAATAATTGATTTTGAATAGTGATATGATGGGAAATGTGTGGTTGAAAAGGAAGAAAAAATTATTGATGTGATGAAAAATCTTATTTTATTGAAGAATGAATGGTTGAAAATGAGAATTGATTTACTGTATAAAATGAGAATTGATACCAAACAGGCCCTAAATCTTTTTTTTTAACACCATGTTACTTGTACTAAAGGTAAACTCAAATACTCGATGAAGTTAACGGTACATTCCACGTCGTGACCAATTGATGCAACCTCCAAAATTGGACATTCATGGCTCTTAGTCATAATTCTAGGCTTAAAGATATTATGGACATGTCTTTTCAACAGTTT